GGGAGTTTGTCAAGAGATGCCACCGTTGTCATAAACAAGGGAACATCAACTCACGAGATGCGATGCCTCTCATGAACAATCTCCAAGTAGAACTCTTTGATGTGTGGAGGATTGATTTCATGGGGTCGTTCCCTAAGTCTGGGAACTATGAATACATCTTGGTGGCCGTGGACTATGTATCCAAATGGGTAGAAGCACTGCCATGTTGAACTGCCGATTCAAAATATGGCAAGAGAATGTTCCACGAAGTCATATTTCCTCGCTTTGGTGTACCCTAGATGGTCATAAGCAATGGAGGATCCCATTTCATAGATAAAGTCTTCCATAAGTACCTAGCGGAACATGGAGTTCGTCATAACATCGCAATGCCATACCATCCCCAAACTATCGGTCAGGCAGAAACATCTAACAAACAAATCAAGAATATTTTGCAAAAGACCAAAGATGAAATGGGTAAGGGATGGAAGGAAAAACTCCCAGATGCACTTTGGGCTTACCGAACTGCATATAAGACACCGATTGGCATGTCACCTTATCAACTTGTCTATGGAAAAACATGTCATTGCCCGTTGAATTGGAATTCAGGGCCCATTGGGTAATCAAGAAATGGAACATGGATCTCCACCTAGCTGGTAAGAATCGTCAAATGCAATTATCTGAGCTTGAAGAATGGAGAGAAAAGGCTTATCACAACTCCAAGATTTACAAAGAGAGAATGAAGAGATGGCATGATAAGAGAATCAAGCACAAGGAGTTCAAGCCTGGAGACAAAGTTCTACTATTCAATTCAAGAGTAAAGCTCTTTAGACATGGTAAACTACGAAGCAAGTGGGATGGACCTTATGAGGTCATCAACACTTCAACCCATGGGGCCAGTACCATCCAAGATGATACAGGTAACACCTTTAAGGTAAATGGCCAACGGTTGAAAATTTATTTTGAGCCATAAGTTAACATGGTTGAGGAACTTGATGTGATTGAGTTCATAGAATTTTCACATTAAAATTCATTCAATCTTCTTCATAAAATTGGAACCTTTCCTTAGTATAAAATTTTGAAAATTTAAATTTTGTCATCATTTGATTTTAGTTGAATAAATGTTGACTCCCTAGTGTCTCTCACTAGAAGAGTCCCCTTTTGTTTTCACCATTTCTATCTATGAATAAAAGCCAGGTATAGTTTTGGAGAAGTGTGGGGGTCGTGCCAACTCCCATTGATGAACATATGCTTTGAAGCACATCATGAACTAGTGAAGGAGTCTGCACGCAACTTCTGGAATTTGGTTTGATCCTTCTCCACTTGTTCACAAGCTTACTCCTTGCTTGCACTTGTTTAAACATGCAAATTTAAAAAGAACCAAGTTTCACATTTAAAGATAAATTTTTGAAAGTGAATATAAATATAGCTATTTAAGATTGGCAAGCATAATGTTTATTCCTTACATATACTTAGTGCTTGTGGGAAAAATATCATATAGGAAAATCATATTGACTAAGTTGTTGTGGAGTGTGATATAGTTCTAGCTTAGAAATCCTACCGGTTCTAGTCAAGGTGCTTGGAGAATTTGTTTTTGAAAAAAATATTATAAACCATAGTATCACATACTCCTTAGTGGTGATAAATTCCTATCAAAGCCATATACGTATTTGTAGGATACAAACCTTCCACATGCTGCTTGCTTTGTGTTGAGTTTTGTCAAGTCTTGTTGACCCTTGTTGAGAGATTTATCATGCTCCTAAGATCAAGAACACGTACACGTCACATATATGTGCTGCTTCTACACTGGAAGTACGCAAAACATGCTTTTCATCAATCTTAAAATGTTTGACTCCTACACTAGGGGTGAACACAAAATATGCTTGATAGGTTTATCCACCAAATAAATGCTCCAAGTTCTTGTGAATGTCTCTTTTGAAATGTTTTGTTGCAGAAAAGAGACATGGAGCTATGCAAAAGGAAAACAGTAAAAAAAGAAGAAAGAAAAAAAGAGACGAAGTTGAAAAAACGGACACAAAGATGTCTAGAGTATTGAAAACAATGGGTACTTAGATGTCCGCCATGAAAAAAAGAGATAGCCCTGCTCTTGCAAATATTTCAAGTCTCAACAAGAGAGATATCTTTTCGAGGAGCATAGTAGAATTAGGTTAGCCACCAAATATTCCACACATATGCACATCTTGATCTAAGAGTATAACATTTCCATCCTTGGATCCGGGATTTGATTTTACAATATATGCAAGGCAAGTATGCTACATATTTTATCCCTACCTAATTAAAACTCCACATAAGCTTTTTTTAAAAGTAGGAAGAAAAATAAGGCATTGTTGAGTTGTGCCTTGGTGAGGAATCATACACCATTGAGAAATTTGAGAGTACCATTTGAGGAGTATAAAGTGAACTATGCTTTTCATGTGAAAATTTAAAAAAAAATCCAAGTTACTGAGATGAGATTTGGGAAGATGGCTTTGCTTCGAGAGTTGTTCCACTTTTCAACCGCTCAAGGAGATATGTTAGCCACTCCACATATCCTACAGGTACGAGGAATGTTTTGGAATAATTTGTATGCTAGTTCCATTCTTGAATAGTTATGTTTATGCTTACTTTATTCTAACCTTTACTCAAGGACGAGCAAAGAACTAGTGTGGGAGAGTTTGTTGACGGTCACTAACATCAATTATAAACCATCAACATAACCTACATTTATATTTAATTCTATCACCAAACATAGGTATAGGGGTTTAACCTAATGAATTCCACGAGCTTTGGTGAATATGTGACTATAGGAGGATTTATCCAGAAAACAGCTCTCGGAACCACTGTCATATACTCCAAACAAGCAACACCAACGACAACAAGTGATTCAACCCACAAAACCTGTGAAAGATGACTCAAGACGGAGCCCAAGCCTCACCACCAGAAGGAGGAGCCCACCTGGCACCATAATGGGCCGCTCGGCCCACTAGGGAGGCCACCCGGGCCATGGGGGTGGCCCATCACCTCCCGCCGCCTCGTACTCCTTCCTATGATCTACACCGTTGATTCTAAGGCAGTTTTAGGTTGGTTTATCCAACGGTGGTCGGGGAGTTGACACGGATCGATGACGTGGTGATTCCTTGCCCCTTACTCCACCTAGAGTCCTTGCCCTCTACTCCACCTCGATTCCTTGGCCTAGACCCCCTCCAGGAGATACACATCTACATACCCTACGCTTCAGAGCTTCATAATTTCATACCCTTTGTAGTAGTGTCCCTCTAGATGATTTCCATCTAGATGTAAAATAGAAAATAGGGAGAGAGAAGAGGAGAGAGCTAAGGAGGAGCCAGATCTGTTGGATCATCCTCGAATTTGTACTTCTACAGAACGGATTCATCCTTGAGTAATCTCCAGGTTCTTCAATTACTATTCCTAAGTTCTTTATTTACTTAATTTCAGTATTTACTTTAAGTTATTTATTGGATTCTCGCTTGCATCAAGTGCTCTAGTCTTTGCAAAACTAGAGTAGTCATCAATAGAATAGGCATGGTACTTAGTCTTACGATTACCTGGAATTGCACCCATCCCTACGCTTAGTTGTGGTAGCCCCAGTTGGTGACAGCCTTGATGGCCGACGTAGTCCACCACGTTCGGGTTGGTGTTTGTAGGACCATAGTCAGAACTTCCTAGCTCCTTTCTCATCTCAGTCTGAGGCTAGTGTTCTGATGTCCCAAAGTAATTAAACTTATAGTAACTTTGATTCCTAGATCAACTACAGAAACTTTTGGAAATTCCTCTCTCCCCCCAAAAACACCTATCTTTATCCTTGGACGATCTTGATCCTTAATTAGTACACTTCACGTTTCCCGTGGAAATCGATACCTTGAAATACTCCTGGGTGAAAGCTACAGCGGTATCCGTGCGCTTGCGGAATTTATTTGTTTACGTTAATAAATACCAACAAAAAACACAACATATTAAACAATAATAAAATAATCATATTTGTTTAAATGGAACTATACATGTATACTAACTTGTACCATTCAAATCAAATGTATAATTTGTTATTGAACATGCGCGCTGCCTAGTTCCATATGTAAACAAACTTTCTATTGAGGCATGTGTTTGAATCAAGAAGGTTGGATGCATCTAATCAACCGCACAAGTTTGTACCTTGAGATTGTAGTTCATCACTGAAAGTGGTATTCACTAAATAACCAAGGCTATCCCTTCTGTCCTAGTTTGACATGGATTCAAAGGAAATTCCACATTAGAAGATTTAGGAGGAGGTGAACATGAACTTAGTGTTGCACAGCGATAGACCAACTTAGAATATCAATATTAACTAGTATTGTGTGCTATGCATGCCAAGAATTATGGGCATTTGGTCTGGTTAATCATCTATCTAGCACTACTCTTGAAACTTTTATTTGTAAAGTTAACTCTTCGCTTACTTACTTGGGCTGCTTACAAATTGAGTAAAAGTCACAATACAAGCCAAATAATTAAAGACCAAAGTTCAATCTTGCCTGTTGTCCCGTAGCAAATCTAGTATTAAAAAAGATATAAAGAGTCTTTTAAGATAGTCTCGCCGTACATTTTACTCATTTTATAACCATGATACATTTTGTACTGCTTCTGGAGTTCTACAACCGTGGTGGAGCTGCCGGAATCCACAGCCTGTTCGTTTGGCTGTGGCTTGTCGTAAACGATCATAAATTTTCAGCTGGAACAGTATTTTTCTCTCACACAAACCAGCCAGCAGTACTTCTTCACGAACCAGCAACGAAACGAACCAGCCAGCAGTACTTCTTCACGAACTAACCACGAAACGAAACGAACAGTATTTGTTTATTAATTGGGAAATTCCGTATCTACGAGTTTCTTGTTTGAATGTAAGAACTTGCATACAAATCGAAGAACATTACAATAGGATATAACTTGTTTAATTGCAATTACTAGTTACTATGAGAGCCTAAAAGTAAAGTAAAACCAGCAACATATATATAATATAGCAATGGTACCAACTAACTAAACTCGTGGTTGTATACCTTGTACATCTTGTCTGTCTTCTCCCCACCGGCTCTTACCTCCATCACCCACCCTTTTGGAAGCCATTCATGTTGTCTCTGAATATGCAAGCATAATGAACAAACAAAAAATTGTAATAACACATATATAATAAAAAGTTGGTCATACATAAAAAATTGTAGTCATGCACCTGAAGCTTGTTTTCTGCACCACGTTCCTTCGATTCTAGCATACGCCCATCTGTCCTAGAAAAAAGGTACTCCAATACCTCTGACTTCGTGTTGAATGTGTAATTTGATATGGGAGAAGTATAGTACTGCTTGCAAAATAGTTCAAAGGTTCAAAGGAAATTCATAAATCTGAGTAATAAGAAAATCTAGTTTATAGGTGACATTTCATATGGCACAATTACTTGTTGAATCATATACAAGCACTATTTCTATTGTTTGAGAAACATACTCGAATAATGGTGCCATCTTCAGTGCGGTAGACCTCCATGATCCATCCATCGGGGAGCCAATCCGGTGGCTCCACTAATTCCTCAATATCCTCCTCCTCATCTAGACTAGTTGGTTCCTTTGCTTCATCATCCGATATCATAGTCATAGGTTTGTCACCCATTTTTGATGGTTTGGCTACAATCTACTTATGCTTACCTTCTAGCTTTGGATCTATCAAAGCAAAGGATTGCTTGAACGATGGGTATTTATACTAATCTTCCTATCCAACTAGTGCTAGCTGGTATCCACCATAGGCTGGAAATTGTCTGGCTGTTTGGTAAGGAACAACTCAAAGATTCCTTTTCAAGATCTAACAGATAGTGTAACGCCTAGCTCATTTATTGTTGTAGATACTACAGATTTGAAATGCAGATTACATTATTAATACATAGAACATAAAATAGGAAGGTGGGTGAGCCCATATCCCTCGCAACGGTCATCATCATCTGGTGCGGTGCTGACTCATGGGGATGAAGACCTCAGACTGGATCGTCGGTCCTCCGTACCCTCGAACACCCATTGGTATGCTTCCTCTCCTTTAGGGGCAGTGGCTGTAAGTGGGCCACCAATCCAAGGGAGGCTCCACCTCGGCCCTTGGATGCCACTGACTTAAATCAAGGGTGGAGAAGCCTCCTGTGTGTGCTTCCTTGCCTCTCCCATGGATTAGTGACGTGGCAAGGGGGTAGGCCCACGATCAAAGAAAGCCGATCATCGCCATTCCAAATGCGACCCGGGGCCATGAACGGATCGAGGTCTCAAGAGCCATCTCTTGCTTGGGAGCTCAAGGACTTAGCCAAGGCATAGGGAATTCCCAAACCCAGGAGAGCTCTGACCAAGCCAAGGCCCCCGCAGTCATCCCAGCCTTGGTTAAGGTGAATGTTTGCCCTAGGCAAAGCCAGAAGCTAGCTCCAGAATCTGTCAGGCGCCTAGAGCCTAACAGACACAGAAGCACTACACCGTCATCTCGCTCCACAGCCATGAGGTGTTGTTTGCCACTACCTCAGTAGGGTCATGTCTGGGCTTGACACGTTAGGACAAGGAACGCCCCCAAGACCTCGAAAGTGGTGGGCTCTGGGCCTGCTTGGCAACCTCTTCGGGTAGAAGTAGAAGCCTGGTGTCGCAGGTTCATATAACCATGGCGAGCATCGTGGTTGCTCGTCGAAAATCGATATGTGGGTCTCCGGTGGCTCGAGCACTCAACAACACAAGAGGGACACGACGATCTATCTTGGTTCAGGCTTGAGCCCTACATCTAGCAGTGTAGTGTTCTCTGTGTTAAGAGTACCCAAATCAGGGATTACAATGATGGAGATTGAGAGTATGTTCAACGCAAACCATGACCCTATCTTGTGCCGGGATTAATATTGTTTCAAAAGGACCAAAGGGGCACAGTTTGAACTGAACATACCACGTCGCAACGTTCTGGATCCCATATGGGAGATCTGGGAGAACATACCAGAAGCGTTGAGACGGCGATGGCACCTCTCTGGCGGCGATCTGGTGATGGACGTTCGCCAGCATGTAGAGCATCTGGCAACGCTCTGACACAGTGGGGTTTGGGCCAAACCAAGTCGAATCTATCGGGCGAGGGCCTCGAGGTCTGCTCCCAGGAGGCCCAGCGGATGATATGACACCGAGGACTCAGTTGTCCGCCAATGCAGTCTCCTTGAGGGGGTGAAGTTCGCTGCTGTACCCTTGATGTAACTTCACATGGTCCTTCATGAATATGATAATTCTAATGTGCTGAATAATTTGGACAGAAAGGAATGATCTAATCTTCAAAGGAGTTCATCCTTCTCTTTAGGATTGCAGGGCTTTTCTCTATAAACAAATCTCTTTGCTGAAGTTGAGAGCAAATGAGGCTTCCGGCTTTTTTTGACTTATTATGGATCCAAAATCTGTTATAATCTGCCTTTTAGCTTTCATCTTTTTTTGTTTCTTGAACTCTTTCTTGTGATGTTGAACTTTTGCTTGTTTTAATTATAGCCCAAGCCCTCCTAAAATAAATATAGCAAGGAAAACGTAGGTTAAAAACTTAAAATGTGAAATCAATGGATTTATTTAAGCACATGGCTAAAATCTGATTCTCACAAAACTGCTTAAACACTAAAGCATGCTTTTATTTTTTCAAAAAATGAAAGATTTTATTAATTCACAATCATTACATCGAGTTGATACAATATTTGTGGAAGGACTAAATTTTAAAATGACCTATTGTTCACCCACACGCCAAGCTCTTTAACTTAGAAGGACAAATAAACATATCATGTATGTAACTGTACCCACTTGTCAAGTTTCTGAACTTAGCTAGCGTTTAGTTGGGAGACAAAGTAGAGTGGAATGATCCCATCTTTGTTTTGAGGGACGGAATGGTTTCATTTTTTGTTTGGTTGAGGAAAGATAGGACGGATATGTTTTCTGTTTGGTCAAGAGACATCAAAAGTGGGATCGGCTATCTGACTGGTAGAGTCCACGTGCCAGTCTCTTCTCATGCTTCTTAATTTTTTATTTTTCTTCGTCTTCCTTATCCCTTCGTTCTTCTTATCCCAACTGTACCCGCGCTTCATCCTCCGACAGCGCTTGGTCGTGCGCCCATCGTCTTCCTCCCCTCCTCCACCGTGCGCCTAGGGGTGGAACTGCCCACGTGTGCGCGGGGGCCGGGTGCGGAGCCGGCCATGCGTGCCCCAGGGCTGGGGGTGGATCGGCTGCGCGGGCGCCGGTGTTAGGCGGAGCTCGGCCGCACGCGCCGGGGGCGAAGACGGAGCGCACCGAGGCCGGCCGTGCGCTAGGGCCAGGCGACGCTGGAGCTCACGAGGCCGGTCATGCTTGTCTTCCGCCGCACCTCCGAAGGCAGGCGCAGGTGAGCTCGGGGACGCGTGCTCCTTCCTCCCCTTCTCCACCGGCCGACGCTCCTAAGTCCTACCTCTCCTCCTCCATCGGACCTCGCTGGTGCCTAGGCCGCGGTCTCCTCACGCACGCATTGATAACGCTCGTCCCACTTGGGACGTCCCCGTCCGTCGTTTTTTCGGGGGCAACGTGAGTCCGAATGTGACGGGAATATACCTAAGTGGGATGTCCTCGCTCCCGATAGCCTCCCAACCAAACACAGCCTGGGTCCATCCCATCCCGTCCCTACTCATCCTCGCATCCAAACACACAGTTAAATGAGCAATCGGAAAGATGATGTATCTGTGTGCATCCACCTAACAAGTTAGTGCACCGAGAGCATCTCCGAGAGCCTTTCTAAAATCTACTCTTTAAATCATCATTTGGAAAGTCATTTGAGTAAAAGTTATTTTCTAAATCTTTGTATTCCCCAACAATTTTTCTATAACTTGTACGCAGTATAGAGAGCCATCCTTTCTCTACATCTTTAACTACCGAGAAATCTGGAATAGAGGATATTTATATTTAGATATTCAAATGAAGAGGATGTTAGAGGCTATTTTTTTCACTAAAATCTCTGTACCTGTATATTAAAAAAAGATATAAAGAGTCTTTTAGACGTAGTCTCGCCGTGCATTTTACTCATTTTATAACCATGATACATTTCGTACTGCTTCTGGAGTTCTACAACCGTGGTGGAGCTGCCGGAATCCAGTTGTCCTCCCCACTCACACCACCAGATACCGAAACCGACCGTAGCAAAGCAAAAGCAAGGCAAGTTTGGAACGGCCCTGCCTCATATCGTATGGGCCCCACTGCTCATACTCTCAGACCGATCCGACCCAAAGCCGAACACCCGAACCCGATTCCCCTTGTTTCTCATCGCGCCACCGCTTACCCCGCCGCCGCCGCCGCCGCGTCGGCAGCGGCGATGGCGGCGTCGTCGTCGCGGCCGCTGCTCCGCCGCCTCGCAGAACTGGCCAGAGGCCGCGTCCGCGCCAACCACCGCATGCTCTCATCCGCCTCCTCGTCCACCGCCGACATCGAGAGGGCTTCGCAGTCGCCGGCGGAGGCCCAGTTCGTGCGCATGACGGAGGGTTGCGTGCGGGTACGTACATCCCTCCTACTACCTACTAGTAGATCGTTCCGCTGCATTTTTCCAAATCTGTAGGCTATTCTAGTTTGTTTTCTGTTTTAGTTGGGATTAATTTTGTGGTAGCAATCGGCAATTTTAGAGAGGGTTTCCTCTTCCTAGTAGACTCTCGCCTCCTATAGAGTATATGCGGGGGGTTTTTTTTTTTTGTGCTAGCTTAAATTGGTTCCGATTGGGTAAGCTAGAAATACTTAAGATTTATAGTTCTGAATAAATCCAACATATTTTGGGTCATGCTGAACTCATACTGAATTGAATCCTAGAAACATGATTCATGCCGGAGCTCCCTTTTATTATTGTTTATGTTGCACTCAGCAATTTAACACTTTGCAGAGATTAAAAGAATTACATGCTAAAGAACCATCTGCTGAAGGTAAGATGCTGCGCTTAAGCGTTGAAGCTGGTGGATGTTCTGGGTTCCAATATTCTTTCGCTCTTGATGACAAGAAAAACTCAGATGACCGGTGAGTCGTTTATTTTGATTAGTTTTCTAGATTTTTTTCATTGTGGAGCCTATGAGTTTATTGTGCATTGCAGTGTGACCTGCAGTTTTCCTTACTTCTTCCCTCAATAATTGTATAATTTACTTGTAGGGTTTTTGAGACTGATGGTGTTAAATTGGTCGTGGATGACATCTCATATGACTTTGTAAAAGGTGCCACTGTGGATTATGAGGAGGAACTTATACGTTCAGCGTTTGTGGTTAGTTTGATCTTTGGCTTTCATTTCTTTTATTGGAATGTTTTATCAAGGGTGTCTTAGTTTATATATTTTTCTGCATACTAGGCCAAGTAGATCAAAATATGTTTACTCTTAAAGGTTCTTCCTTAGGCCCTGTTCGTTTCCCGGGAAACGACGTCCCGGATCCATTCCGGCCAGGAATGCCTATTTAATTTATACTCAGCAGACTTGAGCAGGAATTATTTCGGGGAGGGAATGACTCAAACGAACGAGCCCTTAATTGGTGTTGCGTTTTCTTGCCTTGTGGTAACATGGCGTCTAGTGAGCCAGAGTTTAATGCCAAGGGCCTTGCCTATCTTTCCTGACATATAGGCGACACATGTGGTCTGATTTTAGGGCCTGTTTGGTGTGGCTCCTGCACCGGCTGCTCCACAGTCTCTGGCACCGGAGCCGGCAAAGCTGCACCAAACGCAGCAGCAGCAAGCAGCACTTCTCGCCTCGAATGGGAGGAGCCAGAGCTGTTTTTTGCATAGGGTGCCGGAGCCACGATTTGTGGCTTCGTCTCGGGGGCTCAGGCTCCATCACCTGAGCGGCGCAAGCGGAGCCCTCCCAAACGTGGCCTTAGTTTTTACTAGTCAATTTTGCCATTGCTGGCCCTCACTGGTTCAACCTCCCACCATTCACCAGTCAATTCTGCTGCCTCCTGCTCCATTTCATATTCCCATTTTTCCTGAGGACGGACCTCCATTTCAGAACTGCAGAATTGGGATAGGGAGGGAAGAGAAGAAAGTTTCTGGTGCCCGGAGGCTTCGTACCCGACGAGGATATGTCGGAGCGGCACTCCTGCTTGAGCTCGTCGACCAAAGCTTCCAGGGACTGGACGGTCTCGGTCAAGGAGTTGACGAGGGCGACGAGGTCGGCAGGTGATGGTCCCGACATGTTGGAAGTCATAGACGCAGCGCGTGGCGGTGGCGAGGCTGGAGCAGTGGGCGTTGGCACGGTGGGGTTGAGCGGCGGGGTGGTGGCTGATGAGGATCGCCTGGATCGTGATACCAGGTTGTTAAGGGCGTCGAGGTCAGATAACTGGACCGCGGCTACGAAGGTCGTAGCCTCGATCACTAGGATTGGGGCGAGGTTTTTCCCCTCAGCGCCCAATTATTGAAGGGGGGTGAGATTGAGAGAGGAGATAGGGAATAAAATTGTCTGATTAATTGTTGAATTCCAAATGTTCGCAATACATCATATAAAAAGCTATCCTGGCCGCGGCTTGCGCGCCTACGGCGCTGCTGATTCGCGCTGCTCAGACGCGTTCGTGTCCTTGGCTGTCCATGGTGATCGCGCGCCGATGCGCTGTGCGGACGCATTCGCGCCCCTGGCTGACTCCCTGGTGCGGCCCCTTCGCTGGTAATGGCGGCCCCACATGACAACAGTGGTCATGGGGCTAATGCAACCATTTCTGAGCCAGCCATGCTGTTATGGGCGTCAACAAAGGCCAATGGAGCCAATGAGCTAGCCAGCCAGGGAAGAGGTGCATGGGCAACACATGTGGCAATGGATCAGATTTGTTAGGATGATTAAATTAAGCTGTGAAATTATTGTATGGGTTAGACTGGGATTGTGTCAGCGGGCTCTATAGAAACACGCTCTGTATCCTCATTGAAATTAAGCAATGGAGGCTCAATTTAATTTAAGCATTTCAAATCTATAATCTAATCCCTCCCCTAGCAGCTGACTCCACCTGGCTGTCATCCTGGTGGTTTTGACCCCAAATGAACAGTTCACAACAGAGGCGTACCATACTGCAACCGATACAGATACACGTTTTTTTTTTGGGACTGTCTGTGTTTAAGACAGGCTGAAAGGATGAAGACTAGTTATTTCCTCTGTACAAAAATGGCTACGTGCTGTAGTGTATGGTTTGGTTCATTGTGATGGTGGTTTTCCCAGTCCTAGGTAGCTTCTACTTGAAAATAGTGTCATTGAAATAATTTGTGTTGAGATGTTGACGAAAGTTCTGGAATTAGACTTTAAATACCTATTGCCAGAGCCTTATTTTTTAGCCTTGAAGGCTAACATGTTGAAGTTCTGAAATGAATGAGATGTTTTGTCTTTTAGGCTTTAATGTTTGCCTCTTTCACTTTCCCCAGCACACATGTTTCATGTAGTTATACTTCTCATTGCTTTAAAACCTGAACTTTTTTGGTATGTTCACATGGTTTTTGTTTTCTGGGTAGTGGATGGGCTATGGGCTATGGGCTATGGAGTGGGTTTAGGGTATTGGGCCACTGGGCAAATGGTCCTTGAACTTACATACAGGCTATTTTTGTTAGTTTCATGCTACACAACTATCTTGGCTGTTGAACTCAACTTGAGAACTTCTATATTCTTGAGTTCTGTTGTGATTTATACCTGCCTTTACGATATGCAGGTTTCAACAAATCCTAGTGCTGTTGGGGGCTGCAGCTGCAAGAGTTCTTTCATGGTGAAATAGCTTCAATGTTACCTTGAAGAGATCAATAACCAGAAATAGCATTCTGTAGAAAACATTCGCTTTGGATCTGAGTGTACAATTGGTATTTTTTGGTAGTTCTGAAGATGTTTCTTTTTGAGTTTTGTTACTGTTAGAAATATCATCACAAACTGTCTGGTTCAATCTGTATGCCACTAACTTGTGATAGTTATGATATGGTGAAAATTTTATGTACATGTAATCTTGTGGCTATTAACATTTTACTTTATGTTGCTTCTTACAAAAATGATAAATAAGAGGAACAGTCTATTGTTCTATTGATATGACTGAATATACTGAGAATGTCTTTTAGTATCAATCCTCAATAATTCTCACTCCATGTAATAATGTATTTCCACATGCTTGAGTGTGAAAATGTAATGATAATGCAACCATACCACTACTCCCCCCATATCTCTGCATTCTGGTTTGTTCGGATGGAAACATAGTGCATGCTATTTTTCAGGTTCTGTTCAGTCTTTTGGTAGTGTGTGATGCCGAGGATGACATGGAGTTAATTGTATCTTTTTGAAGGTTTTGGTGAACTTGCTGTTAAACCTCCCCGCATGTTGGTGGGTCACCTCATTGTCTTCATTATGTGAGTACTAGCTGTTTTGGCATAAGTTACTCCTGTTTATAATTGTTCATAGATGATCCACAAAAATAACTTCAGATTTGTCAGAGGCAGGCATTCTTTCTCGTCTTGGAAAAACCTCTTTCGTGAAGAGGCCAAATTTCAAGCTCCTAGAATGAGGAATGACAAACGTGCAACCTTTTTCCTTTGTTTAGATCTTCTTTCTTAGTCCCTCTTGGCTTTTTGGCCTGCTGTGTTCCTCCCTGTTGTGGCTACCTCAGCCCTCCGGCTGCTTGTTCTTTGTAATCGCACTTCCTTTTGTACAGTGTTTTTGTTTTTAATAAAATCCTACAGTAGGAGCTTCCCCTGATGTATTTCCCGTTCAAAATACAAACCTGATTGGAGGGTCTTGCAATACAACAACGTTGGACCATCTCGGTGCTAGCAAACACCAAATATAACAAGTGTTTATTGCTCACCTATCCCAGCTCTAAGATAATAATCTATCATGATTCACGCTAGGCTTAAACTACCAATAATTCCTTAATCTTGTTCTAATTGTCTTGATATTGCATATCTTCACTTGGGCGGCAGAGAACTCCAAATACATGTATGATACCTTTCCTTGAGTTGTAGCAACCTCAAATAGCCAATTGGAGTGGTGTTCATGAGGCCCTCTTCTGACTTTGAATGCATCCGTGGAGATGTTTGGTTCTCCAAGTTCATCACCATCCATGTAACTAAAATATTTTTGTCCTCCGTTTGTGTAAAAAAGACTGGATGTGCTATGTTTGGAACTACAAAAATTACATACTATCCCCAACCTATTTAGATAACCAATGTGAGACCAATTTCACTAGAACAAAACACATGGGACGAATCGAGTCAAAATCAGAACATTGATGGGCCAGTGCATTGTAGACACTGAGGTGGATCTAACGTCCCATAGGGGCAAACCCGTCGATGACAGTAATGACAAACCATGCTGTGGCTAGGTCCTCAATGAAGACGTCCATGTCATCTATGAAGGGGAGGTCCAGGGTTTGGGAAGGATGAGTGGAGCTCGGAGAGGGGGAGGTAGGGGTATTTTGGTCTAACTTTTTGAGGAAAAAAAACAAAGGGTAAGGAATGCATGTCTCAAAAACCCATGACATTGTAATGGCACGACTAGAATATCATGAAATTGTAATGGCATAGATTGAATTAATTTTTTGGTAATGACAAGTTTCCTGAGCTCATAGCAAGTTCTTTCTATTTTTTGTGAGAATTTCTAGATGTATCTCTTTTTGTCACTTGTGAAGATTAACGTAGTGGCCCAAAAAATTGCCTTGAATTAGTAATAGTAAAATAGAAGATGTTGCTCCTTGGGGTATGCAATGATACACATGAGAGAAGAGCTCTTGGAACACTTGTATTATTTCAAAATTAGTTTTGAAGGATTTAGTATTTGAGAATATATTGGCAGACAAGAAACCATTCACTGGTTGTAGATAATCATTTATTATTAGATTAAGAATATATGTTTATGTACTTGGTGCTTAGAGCAAGGGGGTTTATTGGCCGAAAGGTTAACAATATTTAGAAATCTAATATACAAAATTAACTACACATTCATCAAAAGTAAGCTTTTGTGTTAGTATCAGTTGCCTAGGGAAAAGTGATGGTTGTGAATAACAATTTTTTTGTTTGGCTGTTTACTTTGGAAGATCCTACATCTTACTAACAACTTTGAATAAATCATGTGCAAGTACTTCATTATATTGTAGTAGATGACATATGGAGTATAGAAATTTGGGACATTATTAAATATGCAATTCCTCGAAATTTATGTGGTAGTGGGATAATCAAAACATCATGTATAAAACATGTTTCTGAATCATGTTGTTCCTTGTATGGAGATCATGATTATGAATTAAGGCCTCTTCGTCCCGTGGACTGAAAGAGGTTTTTCCTCATATATATGGAGATCATGTCTACCAAATTGTTGGACATGGTCTTAGGTATAGTGTGGTGGTTTGGAGATGATGATGA